ATAATTTTAAATAACTTACTACCTCAAAATATTTCTCCCGCATTCAAGTTTCTTAGCCCCGCAAGACGAGTTGAACACAGTTGAACTTCCTTAGCTTCTCCTTTATTCCTTTTTTTTCCTTTGCCTTCCTCTTCTTCATCTTTTTTACTTTTTTTTTCCCCCCTTTTTCTTCTATTTTCAGCCATTGCAGCCTCCAGTGCCTTCGAACTTACATTAGCTGCCACTGTCCCGCCAACAACTCCTTCATGGCCCTCTTCTTCATGCACCCAACTGAAGGAAATGACGAGGGAATCAGCATAGGGTGCTTACGTATATTTTAAGGGAGTTATATTAGGTTTAATATATTTTTAGTTCCACCACCTTAAAACACAAAAGAAATTGGGATTTCAGCTATTCCTACAATAGATTATTTAAATATACATGTATATGGAATTATATTAGATTTAATAAATTTTGAGTTCCACCACCTTAAACAAAAAAGAAATTGGAATTTTAGCTATTGCTACAGTAGATTATTTAAATATACAATACATCATGCCTTTATCCTGCCACGTGGGGTCGGCTATATATATATATTTTTTCTCCATTGTCATATTAAGCGTCAAATTCTCATTTAAATATAATAAAAAAATATCATTTCTAATACTTTCTAACCAAGTCTTTTTAGGTCTACCTTTACCTTTACCTTAACATAAATCAGATCTAATACATCTACTCTTTTATACGTTAGAAGGCAAACATTTTATATGCCAAACCATTTAGGTGATTTTCTCTAATCTTATCTTCTACTGGAGCTACTCCAAGCTTTTAATGTATATACTTGTTTTGCATTCTATCTCAATCATGCACCCGAGCATCCTCATCTCTGTAGCTCTAAACTTAATTTTATACTTCTCTTTTAATGGCTAATATTTTGAGCCATAAAGCATTGTTGGTCACACCACCATCTTATAAAAATTTCTCTATACTTTAAGGGGTTACTTTTCTACCATTGAATAGGCCAAAAGCATTCCTGCAATTCAACCATCCAACTTGAATTCTACTAATAATATTCTCATGTATTTTCGCCATCTCTTTGAACAATAGACCCAAGATATCTAAAATGTGCACTTGTTTTAATGACTTGATCACCCAATATTACAATCCCACCACTAAAGCTATTACTACTAAAATTGCACTCCATATGAGAATTTAACTCTTAAAAGGACAAAATGGAGAAAAAGAATTCATGTAGCCGACCCCACAGTGGGATAAAGGCTTGATGTTGTTGTATATTTGGTTTTAGATCTACTCAAACAAAAACCTTTAGACTCTAAAGTTAATCTCCATAATTTATGTTTTCTTTCAACTTTCTCTCTAGTCTAATCAGCAAGAAGAATATCATTAGCAAAAAGCATACACCAGGGTACATCCTCTTGCAAAAGCTAGTAAGAACACCCATGACTAATTACGAAAGATGTACGTTTAAATTGATCATTGATGTAATCAAACTAAAATAGGAAAATACTTGGCCAAACCAACTTGTGTTTGACATAAGTAATTTGATGCGGGCATCCGACGATGGACGTTAATCAAAGGAAGAGACGGAGATCGACAGCCGAGATCCCTCCATTTTATCTTAGTTTATTAATTATAATTTTTCTTTAATTATGCATTTTCCATTTTTACCCTTACTCAAGGGACTTGTCTTATGTAAACCCAAGGGACAAATTTGTCTTTTAGTTACTTTTAAGGCCTATATATAGAGACTCTTGCTCTTGTATTAGATAAATCATGGATTATTAAAAAATTTTGTTTGCACTTGTGTTATTTGGAGAGAACTTGGGTGAGATTCCTATGGGAGGAATTCGTAGCTTCCACCAGCTGCAGGATGTGTCCGGGCTCGTGGATTGAAGTCCCTTGGAGAAGGGCAACGTAGTACCCGTCAGCTGTAGGATGTGTCCGGGCTCGCGGTTGTATCTTTCTTTCCCTAAATCCTTTTCTCCTCCTCCCTTGACCTCCGGCCAAAATCCCCCACTTTCCACCGGCCGATTCTCCCATAAACACCTCATCTTCCACAAAACTGTCGGCCACCTCCTTCCCTAGCCCCACCTCCCTAAAAAAAAAAAAAAATTCCTTATTTAAGTTGTCATTAATTTGGAAAGATTTTAAATTCAAATGAATCTAATTTGTATTTTAAATCCATCCTCATTAATTACTTTATTTTTGGTAACCTCTTTCATTCAATTAATTAATCAATTCCGAAATTGATTGATTAATTAATCTCTTAATTCCAATTTTATTTCATCATCATTAGTTTCCTAAATTAGCTCATATCTTATTTGGAAAGTTTTCGAATTCAAATTCAAATTCAAATGAATTTGAATTTTAAATTCTTTCATAAATAATATACATCTATTTTAGGAAATCCTTCAATCATATTAAATCTGAAATTATTTCATATTTAACTCTCCAATCTCCCATTAATGCATGAATCCACATACATTGTATGTGGACACTTTTCCTTTCCCTCCTCATTAGGCCGGCCCCCATCTCTCTCCTCTATCCTAATTCTTTCCTTCATAATTAAAGGCCCCAATTAAGGAGATAATTAATTCCTCTCTTCCCTCCCTCTTTTTCGTATTTGAATTTCAAATTCAAATCCATTAATTAAGGAAAATATGAGATGGAATTTTAGCTCTTTAATATTTTTTTAATTACCCCCTACCGTTCTACATCATAATTGCTCTTATATACGTATCTTTAAGGACTTGCATGTAAGCATTATTACCTTCTTCTTTTCTAGAACTCTCCAAAGCACTTCTCTTAAAACTTTATTATATTCAATAAAATTAAATTTAAAACTTAAGAAAATTTTAATTATTTGTATAAATTGGTTTTGTGTTTATTGATTCTATATGCTTCTATATATTAAAATGATCGAAATAAAGTGTAGAATGAAATAAACAAGATTTCATTATATTTTGGGATGTGTGAAAATGGAGGGTTAATTTTTCAGGAAAATTTAAGCTTATGTTTTTTCGTAAAATTTAGGGTATTATAATAGACAAGGTTTGTAATGTAGCAAATATACAAATGGATTCAACCACAACAAACTAAGAACTCAATCTTCAGAAAGCGTGCGAGCTAATTTAACAAGGTTAAGTAGCAAAGTTAACAAGGCCCTTGTGATGGACATTTTATTGCAAATCATGATCGGAGGTGGTCATTATCAAAATTCAGGCTCCTATTATCAAATTTAGTGTTTTCAAGCAAGATATTAATGATAGATATATTGAAAGTGAATCTCAATCGGAAAGGTCCTCCAATATTAAAATCCCCACAAATTCAAACAAGCAATTTGAGGCCCAAATTCCAATAAAATTTTGAAATTCAAAAAATAATTAGAAAATTGAACACATTGAAGTAAATTTAATCCTCCTAACACTTAAAGTAAAATTTGTACCGCGTTTGCAATAATTTGAATGAGGTGATATTTAAATTTAACCTAAGCTTGCAAAAGTTAAATATTATATCAGGGGTATCGCTATGGTTACGCTCCAAAGCTCTCATGCTTGTCAGGGCATGACACATGTCTTCTATCTAGTTGTTTTGCCATCAAATGACATCCCATGTAAATATATATGATCAAGGCCTCTTACTGGATAATTTTATCGCAAACTGACACCATTATATTATGTTTATTGCTAGATCTCCAATGCATTTAGTCCCCTTGAGTTGTGAATCTTATTGTGCACTAACTAGGGCACATAGCTCTCTAATTGCTAAGGTTAAGTAAAAATTGTCCCCTTAAACAAATATGGCTTATGTCTATTAGATTCATTTGGACAGTGCAATTTATGACTGCTGACAGAGCTTATTCAGTTAGGTTGGGTCGATATGCCTGTTAACTAAGTAAAACAAGGTATTTGACAATTCGGGATTAGGAAATCATAGGATCTAATCATGTTTGTCGTCATTCCCACATCTTGTAATATAAGCAAAAGGTGATAAATTTTCTCAAATTAATACTAAAACTGTTGTTGCTACATGCTAAAGTTTTGCACCTAATGACTAGCCATAATCAAAAGTAAGGGCTTGTGCCTATTTAAAGCTTGGAATTATATTATAAAGTTGTCATTTTAAGGCACAAATGGTAATTTTCTCGATCTAAAACCAAATCACTACTATTATATGCTAAAAATTTAGCACATATTTACTATTTTTTGTCATCGGGAGGGGTAATAAATCATAAAAGATTGTGCTTATGAGAAACTAAAAATTAGATTGTAAAGTCCTTGCAAAGTGGAGGTGAGATCTCCATGTAATGTCTTTTCTGCAATCTAATCAGCCTTCCGGAAATTTCACCATGTCACAAACTCAAGCTCTTATGGGAAATTTGGAACCAAATCATAAAGTCTCCTCAAAATGAGGTTAAAATCTCAGGATAATTTCTAATCAATCATTTAATTTGCCTTCCAAAAAATTTTGCCCTGATACAAACTCCCTCAGCATAGTTGAGCGTGATTTTTTGTATTTTACAATGATGATTTAGATTTTATGTATGTATTTGAATTTGTATTTGTTAGGAGTTTGTAGTTTTTTATTTCTTTTATAATAAAGAGACTGATTATAGATATAGCCTAGAGTCCAAACTACTACTAACTACTAAGTTTGTTCATGATTTATATCTATAATCAGCCTCTTTATTATGGAAAATGTTGATCACGATATCTACAGCCCTTTTATTGGCTTTATAATTTTTTTTTTTTTTTTTGCTTTCAGGACTCGACAATATGATGTTTTGGAGAATCGACACAATAATTTTGATGATTTACTATGCATCTCTCTTTTACATTTCTTTTTTTCCCCTTATTTCTATCCTAAATTTCTATTTTTCTAAAAACTCCACGTACCCTACATCGCTTAACCAGTAACTCAAAAGGGACCGTATTTAATGATGTTTAGTTTGTTTTTACTTCGATTTTACAGTTCTGAAACTTCATTTTTTATTTCTTTAGGAACTGGACGAGATATTTCGCAGAAATTACTGGATTTTACCGAAGTACTGTGTGTTTCCATCACAGGATAACAGTAAATTCCTCTTTACTTGATGTTTATAGCCTTTCTGCTCATGTGAAACATGTTAAAAAAATTTTTTTGAATGAATTTTTATTATCATAAATACAGAAAACAAATTTCTTATCATTAGTTTCATGAAACTATATCCTTTTCATCAAATCCCTTTGCAGGAAAATTCAGATCAATCATAAGAGTTAAGGGATTGGATTTTGAATATACGCTCAGTGGTGATCCTAAAGATGGTCCTGACCAAGCAAGGGAATCTGCTGCTGCATCTATGTTGACCAAACTGCAAGAAATGGCAGCTCAAGCTCATTTTCGCTGATCAGGTTTTATTTTTCATTTTTTGAAGTTCCAAATTGTAGATTTGAAGTTTTAGGAAAGATGCTTTCATGTTTGTAAGTAGTTGCAAGGATCTAAAATCTGCATTGCATCAGATCTTCAGGATGAAGATCTTTTTAACCATAGGTTCTTCTGCGAGTACTTTTTGTGTCATTTTATTGTTGAAAGAAGTGTTCATTTAGATTCATGGTGGATTAGACAGCTCAACCTGTTGTCTTCAGAAATTAGACCAGCTTCGATCATTCTTCACAGGCTTGTTAATTTGTTGTGTTCAAGTTGGCTCCATTTGAACTTTTTCTTTAGTTATATGGCTTGGGTTGGAGTGCTTTAGTATTCGTTGGAGATCTGATTACAATTTTAGATAATTGTTTTAACTCTTTCCCAAAATCAGCTGAAAGTCTTTCATTGCGATTCTGAGCTGAGCTCGACTAACTTATAGGCCAGCTTGATAAGATGATAATTTCTGAAAGGATGCTCCAAATCTTCTTGTATGATAAATCAATATTATAGCCTTTCTTTATGTATGATATGACCATCTTCGCCTTAATATTAGAATGATGTGCTATGAGCTTATTTTTTATTATATGGCTAAGGAGCCATGATTGTGCTTGTTAGTGGTATTTCGATCTTACATTTGATATACATGTGTGTTTTGATTCAAGGCTTGTTACCCCAAGTCCGTCAAATTCTTAGCTCGCAAGCTCTATGAGCAAGTCTCTTAATAGCAGCAAAGTTATCATATTTCTTTTTTTGATTTCCTCACATTGAATTGAAAGTCCTTTTTGATCACATATTCATGTAGCATTCAATTCAACTCTTGTTTGCTCTCAAAATACTACCTAACATATAATTGATCGATCGGGGGATCAATTTGAGCATAATGGTAATAAATCAACAAATATTAAATCGGAGGCACCTTTAGGCACCAACTTATATATTATGGGAGTTATTCAAGTGTTTCTTAACTTGAATTGTTGCTTTTGTAGAAACAGAGAAACTAGAGAGGAGTAGAGAGAAGAAATGTAAGGAAGAGAATAGTATTCAATCTTGTTTCATTGTGTATTATTACATCCTATATATAGATTCTGTCATACAGCATAAGCAATATAAACAGTACAATGATGTGGTACTAAGTGTTATGTAGTTTGTCTTCTAATATTTCCCCGCAAACTGAGGGATCTGGAACGATCGTCAGTTTGAGTCGAAGAGCTTGAAATCGTGGTGTTGACAAATTCTTAGTGAATATATCGGCAACTTGATCTATTGTGCTGATTGGAAGTAGGCGGATGTTATGGTGTTGAATTTGATCACGAATAAAGCGTTGATCTATTTCAATGCGCTTTGTCCTGGCGTGAAAGACAGGATTGTTCGCTAATGCGATGGCAGAGGTATTATCGCAAAATAGCTCAGCTGGGCTGTCTTGGGGGATGTTGAAGTCGGTTAGCAGTCGTCTAATCCATATAAGATCCGCTGTTGCGGCTGCAAGTGCTCTATATTCCGATTCGGTGGATGATCGAGCTACCACCGTTTGTTTCTTGGCAGCCAATGAAACGAGTGTTGTGCCGAGAAAAGTGCAATGGCCGGTGGTAGATTTCCTGGTTGATGGATCGCCGGCCCAATCGGCGTCAGAGAAGGATCGCAGCTGGAGGTCCGATTTGTTGATTGGAAGACCAAAGTCCAGAGTCCCGCATATGTACCTGAGAAGACGTTTTAAGAGATAGCAGTGATTAGGAAGCGGATGATGCATATGCTGAGATATAACATTGACTGCAAATGCAATGTCCGGGCGTGTCAAGGTTAAATATTGTAATGATCCTGTAATGCGTCTGAATGTTATAGGGTCGGAGAGCAGTTCGTCCGCTTGAAATTCAGACGGAGTTTTTGTACAGGTCGGATTGGCTAGAGCCTTGCAATTCGTCATTCCGGCTTGCTGAAGAATGGAAGCTGCGTAGGTTTTCTGTGAAAGAAAGTAAGAATGATTAGTTTTAGTTCTAGAAATGCCCAGAAATTGATTTGCATAACCGAGCTTTTTTAGATTAAAACGAGCTGCGATTTTATTTGTTAACTCAGAGATAGCATGATTGTTGTTCCCGGTAATCAGTATGTCATCAACGTAGATCAACAGGTACATTTGCGTGTTGTCTTTGTTGTATGTTAGAAGCGACGGATCTGCTCGACTATGGTTGAAGCCGAGGGATAGAACGTGTTATACCACTGTCTTGGCGCCTGTTTCAGGCCATAGATTGCCTTTTTTTAGACAGCAAACGTAGTTTGGGTTTATGGAATCTTCAAAGCCCTTCGGTTGCCTCATATAAACTGTCTCTGACAGCGTCCCATGGAGAAAAGCATTCTCCACATCGAATTGCTGAATATCCCAGTTGTGGAAGAGTGCAACAATTATGAGTATGCGAATTGTAGGTAGTTTTGCTACGGGGCTGAAAGTCTCGAGATAATCTATGCCGTGTTCTTGATGATTGCCCTGAGCCACTAGTCTGGTTTTGTACGAAATGTCCATCGACATCCTAATACTTGAGCAGATGGAGGAGGAGGGACAAGGTTCCATGTTCCTTGTTTTTGTAAAGCGAGGAACTCAGATGCCATGGCTTGGCGCCATGCGGGAAATTTGAATGCTTCTTGATAATTTGTTGGATCACATGGACTGTTGTCCAATTGATGATGTATGAGATTAAGCCAATTGCGCGATTTGAGAGAACCCGTTCTGAAACGAGTAACCATTGGATGTTGAGTAGTGGTAGTCTTGGCAGGTATGTTGCAGTTGCTGAGAGATTTGCTTGGTTCCTGTGATGGTTCACGTATAGGTATGTGAAGAGGTGATTCCGAATGTATCTGTCTTATTTGTGTAGCCGTCTGAAGGTTTTGAAATTCTGGATTTTGGCTGGGCGACAGAGGTTGAACCGACGAGTGAGGCATAAGGAAAGCAGGAACCGTGTTTTGAGCATTGGATGGCTCGATCTCTTGATGAATTTGAAACGGAAACGAGTCCTCAATAAATGTGACATGCCGAGAGATCGAGACAATTGGTGGAACTATTGAAGCACTTGTATCCTTTGTCTTGATCTAAATAGCCAAGAAACACACATGAGATAGATTTTTGTTGCAATTTATTTCGTAGAGGATGAGGTGTTAGTGGAAAACATTCACACCCAAATGTTTTAAGGTGTGAGTATGACGGAGGTTCTTTATATAAAAGTTGAAAAGGTGATACCGACTTCATGTTAGTAGAAGGTAGACGGTTGATCAGATAAACTGATGTGAGAACAGCATCGGTCCAAAACTTGGCCGGAAGTGAGGCTTGATGTAACAGAGTTCGCGCTGTTTCTATAATGTGATGGTGCTTGCGCTCCGCTACTTCGTTTTGTTCCGGAGTGTAAGGACAAGATCGTTGATGCTCAATTCCGTTGGTTTCCAGAAACTTTCGAAACATATTGTTGATATATTCCGCTCCACCGTCGGTTCGGAGAATTTTTATTTTAGAGTTGAATTGATTTTCAATAAGTAGTTTTAATTTCACAAAAGTTTCAAAAACTTCAGACTTGTTTTTGAGCGGAAAAATCCAAGTGAATCGAGAGTAATCGTCAACGAAAGAAACATAATATCGAAATTCTTGATTAGATGCAATCGGGGATGGACCCCAAACATCCGAATGCAACAGTTCTAAAGGATTAAATTTTCTATTGCTCGATCTTGCAAATGGCAATTTATGGCCTTTGCAAGATTTGCAAGAGATACAATCTAAGTCTTTAACAGAAATATGTAAATGCGGTTGCAAAGAAGCAAGAAGACGTAAAGTTTGGTTGTTCGGATGACCGAGCCTCTTGTGCCATGTAGCTGACGGAGCCTTATTTGCCGATAGAGTAGAAATGATCGGCTGAGCCGAAGCTACGGGGTATAGACCTTCTTTACAAGGTCCATGAAGAAGAGTGGTGTCCGTCATCAGGTCCTTCATAACAAAGCCGTTAGGAGTGAAAGTAATCGAAATATTATTGTCTCGTACAAGAGTAGAGATAGACAAAAGATTATAAGAAATATTTGGAATGTGAAGAAGATTAGCCATTTGCTATTTTTAGGTTGATCATAAATTAGGGTTGAAATCCTCCATGGAAGTGTTGTTATTGAAACATTTATAGAATCACTTTGAACAACCTATAGCTTATATGTCCACAATATTACCTATTTATAGAATCACTATGTGTTAGTCTCATTTGTATGAAGAATCACAGTTGAAGCCTTTTTAGTAGTCACATATATGGGAGTAGGGGTGTCAATTTTTGACACGACACGAAAACCCGACCTGGACCCGCCGGGTTGGACCCGACCCGATTTCAAAACGGGTCGGGTTCGGGTTCCAGAAATCGACCCTTAAGTAACTTAGTTGGAGAAATTAATGATTCTTCTAGGCAGAGCATAATCTCCAAGTTTAGGTTAAATTATTTCTTATTAACCTATCGCTTTTTATATAAAGATCATTGAGTCTTTAAAGAATATACTTCTCTATGCCGTCAATTATTTGCTCCATTTTCTGGTGAATGCAAAATCAATTTGTATATCTTCTTTTCATGCTCTTACATACAATATGAAATTTTTTATATTTGATTTACCTATCGAAGATACTTTTTATTATATAATTTCGCTATTTTTGAAGCTTGAACATGATTTGAACCATATGCGAGCATCTTTAAAAATGGTTTGAATGATGATTGAATCATGATCAAATATATTCAATCTACGATTGAACTATACATTCAAAGCATGATTATACCTAATCTAGACCTAGTTAAGATATGTGTCTAGTTAAAGATGCGATTGTCTTATTTGTTGAATATAGTTCGTGTGACAATCAAATAGTAGTCTTTAATAGATTTGAATCATGTTTGATCATGATTTGAATAATGTCTAAATATAGTTTGCACATATTTTTTATAATTATTGAAGAAGGCTTTTTGATACTTAATTTTGCTTTTACATTAAATCTTCTTCAAAACAAACTTATCGACTATTAATGATGAAAATGTGAAAAAATAAAATAAAATAGTGTCAATGTATATGTTCATGTCACCAATAAATGAATATTTAATTTCAGCAATAAGGTCCCTCTCCTATGAGTTTCAAAATGATTATGTTACGGGTTCAACGTGAAATTGACTCGACCTGACTCGAATTCAGTCAACTTGAA